TATTCTTTTTTACACATAATACTCTTTGTCCTTGTTTTTCTGTTTCTTGTGGCCGCTCTTTGAGCTCTGCTGCTTCTCCTTCACGAGCGTGCCGTTGCTCTGGGCTGAGTTGCTGATGTAGTTCCGCGTCTCGTCCACCTGATAGGACCCCTCGTCCCTGTTCCTGTACTTGTACATGGCGTACAGGAGGATGAGGATGCAGAGGGCAGCAGCAGCCACAATGCCGACGACCATCCCCGTTGTGCTGCTTGACTCGCGGACCACCTCTGAGGCCCCCGGAACCCGTCTGATTCCTGGCTCCGTGGGGTTTGCTGTGGGCACATTACGGAACATGGGGGAAGTGATTAGCGGGCTCTTCAGCTTTGTGCTGTCTAGCTCATAGGCAGTGGGCAACGGAAGCAAGACTATGTCAGGCTGGGGTTTGAGCTCACGGTTATTCATTTTGCCGGCTGGCAATTTGGGCACCATCCCAGTCGAGGACGAAGCTGTGGAGCGGATCAGCTCAGGGGACAAAGACGTGGTAGTAGTCCTACCAGTTTCGGAGACTTTGTTAGGTCTAAAGTCCTTGGATTCCCACTTGGGTGCGTGTGCTTTGTAGCCACCTTCGAAGATTGAAGTGGAAAGACTCTTATCTGTTACCAAGGAGAAGGTGGTGTAAAAATCTTCATCATCAGTAGGGGGTAGGTTAGAGTCAAAGGTTTCCCCTGAGCCATACCCAGATATCACCAAGCCATCATCATCACAACCATCGCTGCCTTGGTCCGACAAGCAAGGTAACCCCGCCTCAGAGGTCATGGACAGGGAATCTTTGGTGGTCTCAATAATGGTGAGGAGGGGGCGAAAGGTAGGGGGAAGTGTAATGAAAGGTGCACGAGTAGCAATAGGAGGGATATCTAAAGGGTCTTCTACAAGTAGAGGGATAACTAATTCACCTCCTGGGACGGAAAAGAGAAAAAAAAGAAGATTAGTACATTTTAATGACACAATGCACTATTTTCAATTCACTTAACTCAAGGGTGAGAGAGGATCCGGGCATTATGAAAAAGTGTCAGGGATCAGGTTTCTTGCCCTAACTACACTACCAACATACTTTCCTGGGGATGCCTTTCATTCTTCCCTCCCACCCTGCTTTGATACTGGTAAACTGCATGTTCCATTTCCTCCCTCTTTTAGCTTATGCTAGGGAGATACAGTGAAATACTCTGAATTTTTTGGGACCCAAACTTTTGATATTTGACGATACTCTCAAGTGACTCTGCGGACATCAATTTTTGGTAGTGATCTTTCTTAAGCATTTGGTTACACTACTGTTTATATGAATTATTTTAGACTTCCATAGAACAATGTTGTCCTAGATGGATTTTACCACTCATCTTGCCAGATCTTCCTCCTCTGATTCTTTTCATTTAAAGTAGCATTGGTACTTCTTCTCTGTCATTCAAGTCGGCTCACCTTCTGTAGCAGTTTGTAAGACCTTTCCCTAAGGCCTTCCCCATTCATCCATTTCTTCTTGCTTGTTGCCTGGTTTTTTAAATTGTGGAAAAGTTCATCAAAGTGAGGGATACAATAAGAACCAAGTACTTACTGGAGTCCATGAAGGTACAGAGCTCTGCTCAATGCTTGTTCATCCCTTTTTAATCTTTCTTTACCATTCTGTTTGTCACTAGGGATGTCCCTTTCCTTGCATCTTTTGGGGCTACTAAAGCCATACTATCTTCATCTTCAGTTCTTCTTGATATTCTTTTACTATAATTTGATTACAGATTAAGATAGACTTCATTGTGATTGATGATACAACTGAATAAGGACTCTGATGACCCAAATTAGCACTTGAGCTCAGGAGCGTACTGCAGAAGCTGCCTTCACACTTGCTGTTAGTTCTTGCTATGCAGATAGCTGTGATCAGTGCTACTTCTTCCTAACATGATGGCTACCTGCCTACAGAGGACTAAAAATGAGGTGGACTTACGGTTTACTCTTGAGGTAGAACAACGAAGCTATAGCTATAGCTTTTGTACCTTACCACAGTGTAAGCTGCAACTGAAACAAGAAAATCAGTGCATCATTTCTAAGATTTGGTTTCTGAGCAACAATAGAGCTACTTTTAGGGTAGTAGTCCTGTTTTGTCTATATATTGTAATAGGACTGTACTTCTACTTTTGAGCCTATGGGTAATTAAGACTCCACTGTTTTTTTCTGATGTGGACGTGTAATCAATTTATCATCTAGTTCATTTAGTTCAGATTGCATAGTCTTCTGCTGACATACAGGTCACCGACACTTTTTTAGGGTGAGCCATATTGCTTTTGAAAGTTTGTATATAAATTCTCCCTTGGGTAATTTTTCTTTGGATAGCCACTTAAGTTAGCTGCTTTAAATATAAACTGAAGAGTTCATCTGATACCAGAAGTAGTCACCTAGATTTGTTGGAAGGAGTGCAACTCAGTAAGAAGCATTTCTAATGCATAAGAAATTTTCATTTATACTCACTATGGCTTAAGGAAAGAAATGTAAAAGAAATTTTAGCTTCTAAATAAATAATTCTGGCTTTTACTTATTTATTAATAACTGCTAACGAACAGTTTGGCATTGTTACAATGCTGAACAGCATCAGAGTCAAAATGCTGCTCTCTCCTATCTACACTATACATTACATGAACTTGTTTCCCATTGAATACTGCCAATAATGTCCATGGGAGTTCTATAAAGAATATGGTCTAAAATCATAATCCCTTCTAAATGTATTTGGAGAGCAATATATTTGAACAAATTACATACTGAAGCTAGCAATATACTGAAAAAGGTACTTAACAGTTTGATTAAATCTGGATAGCTGAACTAGCAATATGGTTTATTCTTATCCTTAATGAGAAACTAAGTGGTGACACAGTTTAATCAATTGAAACAGTCAGATTTATCTCCGAGGTACCAGGGTAGAAATTAGGCCAAAATAAGAAATGTGGTACTTTGCATACTTTCATGCAAAGTTAGTTTTAAGCTAAGCTACAAAGGGCCAATTTGAATATGCTGTTTAGTTTTCTGAGCTTCCTCAGCATGTTCATACCACTTTTGTTACTGCATAGAGGATGAAGAAGTAAGTATCATACGTGTAAAATAATGCCAATCTCTTCAAACTATGTATCTTCAAAAAAATTATGTAAAAAGCAGAAAGTATAGTCTGCCAAATGGCTACATGGTGTTTTGTGCTCATGCATTTGAGCTGTTTTCTGTGCAAGGTAGAAACTAGAGCATGTAATATGATTTATATATGTCCAGAAGCCCTATCCACGGTTAGAGTAGGGCATCTATAATCTATGCAAACAGGTGGTCTCAAGGATAAACTTGGACTATGCCTCAGAGAAGATCATCTGTGAGTCTGCTAAAAAAATGAATAAAAATAATAGCATTTAAGTGCGCATTACAACAAATTGCGTAAGTGGGGAATTTAAGTTTCAGAAAGTCAGGGATAGGTAGTGTCCCTTTAAATGATTTTTCAAGATCAGAGTTTTACTGTTAAAAGGTAGTAATCATCTGTGATTTTCATTCACCATCTGTGACATCCAACTGGAAAAAAATCAGTTTGGCAGCTTTTAATTGCTCATCTAGAGCTCTGAAGTGCCTTTGTTCTTAAAATCTATCATACTGGCACACAGCATCAGTATGCAGTTGATCTGCTGCCCACTGGAGCAATATTTTGGGCAGTTTTCTTCCAAAGAGAAATTACTTTGGTCCTATTAACAATTAATTTTCTTGAAGGAATCAGAAATATCTTACATTTAATATGAAGACCTTTCTTCCGCCCCAGTAACCCCTGCCTTTAAAACTAGATCATAGTACTACAGTTATTGTTGCTCTGGAGGATTTGAGCCAATAATCAAGACTACTACAACTTGGTAAGGGGGGTTTCATGAGAGTGATGGAGAGCAGATCAGAGCTTTTTGACTCCAGAAAGTCTGTTGGATGGAAGACAATAGGACAGAATCAGGAATGAGTTCTACAAAGTTTTAATCTCACAGTGTGTGTGAGAAGAGAAATAACTTTCATACCAGGAAGATTGGATTAACTTTGATTTCCCATACAATTATTTAATCTCATCTCTAGTTATATTCCAATTTGATGATCCATACTATGTTTGCCTGTATACTAAAGAAATAATGAGACTGTTAAAAGTCTTTAATTAGGAATCACTTCTCCATCAAGGAGTTAATTTTTTACATTTACTTAAAACAACATACTTTTAAGGAGTATCGGGGAGATGGTTGTAAGGGTGATAACGAAGCTTTGATTTTTTTTTTATTTTTCTTTCTCTCTGTAATGGAAGAAACTGTGAGTCTAAAAAAAAAACTGCGTGGGAGAAGGTAAGTCAGGAAAAGCACTCTCGGTATCAAATCTGACTTCTGTTTTATTGGTATGTTCGGCATCTATGCAAAACTCACTGCAAGCTGCAAGTTGTAGGTCTACTAGGATGCAAGCACAATGAACACTTCTTGGGGTATGCGATTTATAGAGGAATTAAAGCATCCTTTAAAATGGTGTGATAAAAATGCCACCCAGTTTAAAAGAAATGTGTTATTTAGGGATAACAGGGAATATAAATTCTGAAAAGCTCCCAGCAAAGTGTGAGAAATGTGATCACCAACATCTATGGAGGGTAGCAAGTGCAAACTTTCATATCATACCTGCAAACAGCTCTGCTACTGGTACTACATTTCTACTCGTAAGAGACACAAGGGGGAGTTTGATGACAGGCAGATGATAAGTGTGTGTGTAGGGGGAACCATCTTCCACAAAATGACAGCTGAGGCAGCAGGAAGCTGCCTAGAGCCAGTGGTCCTTTGATGGAGAAGTGTGCCTCTTGCCCAGGGCCCCAAGTTTGTTTAAAGGTAAGCACTGAAAGATGTGAAAGACAAAGTGCCACTCGGCTGCCAAGAATAACTTACGTGGGACTTGGATCATAAAAGGTTAGCTATGGAAGGTAAGTGCTTTAAGGATTTGGATGTCTAGAAAAAGATAGAGGAACCCCTGAAAAACCTTACATGACAATTCGGAAAGGAAATACATTTGAAACCGGTTTTATGTTTGAATTTTCCTATCTGAAGTTTTTTATTTGCTCAGTGTCTACCATTTTTTCAATTGCAAAATGAATGCTTTGCAGCTTGAATAAAACTTAGTTTTAACTTACAAATTGTTTTGTGCTTAAAAAAAATGGCAAGGTTGCCACCAAGTTTGGGTCACGGCTTTAAAACAAATATTCATATGAGACTCTGGATTATGTTTGTGGATGATACGGCTGTTTCCTGGTAGTTACAGGTTTCTTTCCCCTGTTAAGCACCAATTAACAGTGTTCACTGGTATGCTGCAAGTTCAGGATTAATTTAGCAATCCAAAGATTTCACAAGGATTTTCCAGATTTATTTTTTACCTACTCTGTGCTTTCTCTCCTAAGTGGGGAATGGATGTTTCCCAAACAGAAAAAAGTTTTTTAAAAAGCATCTGTTGAAAACACAATGTCAAAGAATTAAACAAAAGTGAAACAGATAAAATGTTTTCCTCTGCAGTGATATAGATGCAAAATTAGTTTGCCCATCTACAGTATAGTTGCAAAAAAACTCCCGAACAGCAAACTGGAAGCAGCACTGAGAGACCTGAGGTCTGTGAGGTGGGAAACCTTATACCGAGCAGCCCAGTGCTCTCCGTGGCCTTCTCATTCCACAAAGCAAACAGTGTGCATATATTCCTTAAAAGTTAGCCTTTAAATCTAGCACATGTACTATTTTCATGGAGTTGTGCTTTTCTTTAAACTACCAAGATCATTGGGGATATAAAAGGTCTACTTTAGCCTTGGAGCTGCCCTGCTTTTTGCTTTATGAGCATATTTATAGATATATAATTCATACCTCTGGGGCTGATCTCCAGTAAGAGTTCTCTGCCACTGGAAAAGGCAGAGTGTTAAAAATTTAATAGAAGCCTTATAAACTGTGAGGATGTTGTAGGCGAGTCATGAATGCAGAGGGCACCAAAAAAACCCCCCAACAAACCCAAAAAAGAAAAAAGAAAAAAAACCCCAAACCACCTGAAAAACTGTAGCAGCCACTGGCTTTCATCTTTAGAGCCACAACTTCTTCACTGGAGTCTCAGGCATCAAACTGGTGCAGGACAAAAGGCACACAAAAGCAAAGCCTGAAAGGTTTGTCTCCTCCGGATGACGCTAAGGGACACACCCTTATCGTCTCTCTCTTTTCCAGCTGTGGTTGAAGAGCTTTTAAATGCCATCCATAAAGGCTGCACAACTCATTCATTTCTGCAGGCACTTGGAATTCTGCATCCCAAGTTTGTCATTTTTATTTTATTCTTATGCTGTTCCTCTGAAGTTTGACTCCGCTTTCAGTATGAAATACGTGCCACAGAAAATAATTCCTTACCTTTTTCCCCTCTGTATCAACACAATAATTCCTTATTAAATGACAGAGTTCATAAATTTCAATCTAATGGTGTTTTAGTTAATTCTCCTTTGAGTCCTCTGAGGATAAAAAGGGGAAATTATTCAGAACATAGTCCCTAATTCACAGGAAAGATGATGCTAACATGAAACCTAGTAGATGAACGTTCTTTATATTTTCTACTCTTTGCAGTCTGATTTAATTGCAATTGACAGTCAGTGTTAGAGAGAAAAACATCATTTCCACAATGGAATACTGCAACTTTTCATCTCAAATGTCTCCTTTTCCTTTCAAAGAATATATAGTCCTCAAAGTGATTAGATAAAATGTACTTCTTCTGATGGAGTTGGTTGAAAAGCATTTCCTAAGCCCCCCAAAATATATTAAAAGACATCAGTTATTGCAGTGCTTCCTAATACATGGCTCATGAGCGACAGGAACGTACTGAGTTTGAGAGGTCACAAATCCCATGTTAATGCTGGCCTGTGTTTCATTGCTGTAAATTCCTGGCCACCTTCATGCCATTTCAGTGAAACAGATAGATATAGATATATATAAAACAGATACATAAACCTTCCAGAGAGGACCTGACACCGCATCTGCAGGCAGGATTCTAGAGCAAAACGAAGTATTTCGATGCCCAGACACTGAGCTGCTCTGAACCAATTGAAACATGCCCTCTTCCATCTCCCATCATTATTTTAAACTCATATGATTAACTGGTGACAGCTTCCTACTCAGCATAATTATTTGTTCTTTTTTCAGCATCAGTTGTTCAAGGGACTTAACAGTTGAACCTACGATATCTACTGACCACTATATCCTACTATGCAGGAATGGCGAAAACATACGTGCTTATAAGGAAGTACAACTTTTTCTTACTTTTACTTATTGCATTTTGAAGAAATTAATCCAAATCTCTTTTGAAGCAAGGAAATTTTAGAGGTTCAGGATGTGAGTTTCAATAGGAAAGTGTCTGCCAAATGTGTCTTTTCTGGATGATATTAGTGAGCCTTATACTAGTCATACTATGATGGGTGCGTTTATCTGGTAAGAGTACACTTGAGAGTATCATTTAGACTGGACAGCAGGCAGATAATCAGCAATGAAGAAAATTGATAGAAATAAAACATTTTCATGGCAATAAAGTAGGAATGATGCAGAGCTGCAGTAAGAAGACCCTGACAGCTACCAAAATGGTAGAGAAGTCTCATCGTTTTTTTGCTTGACACGAAGGCTACACCACCAGGCTACGTACAATTTAAGTAGCATGAAAGAAAGTAGCATTACTGGTGATTCATTCTGGGAAACAGAAAGGGGAAAGAAAGCAATAGAGAGGGACCGAGAAAGAACAGGAGCAAGCTACCACAGGTTCCTTCACCCCCTCCTCTGCACAATACAATCTGGTAATCGACAATATACAAAGAGCACACAACATAAAGGCAAATACAAACTGACTCAAAAATAAATAAATGAACTTATACATTTTTCCTAAAGCAAATCCATATACTAGAAAATAAAAATGCCACAGCAACAAGGTCAGAAAAAGGAAAAACATAACAAGTCATTCACTTTATCAGCAAAAGAAAGATTAAAACCTACGAGAACTGAAAAAAATGATGAAAATCAAAAACATTATTTCCTTTTAAAAAAGTAATCAAAAATACATAAAAATATTTAGAAAGCATACCACATTGATTTCATAACAGTCAACTTACATCAACAAATTGCCCGCATGTTTTTTGGCATGAAAGGAAAAATTTACAAAAGAAAGTTGTGTAAGAATGCTCTTGGTCAAGTAGCATTGCCACATTCTTGTAACTTGCTTTTTTTCGTTGTTGTTTCTTAAAAACTTTTTTAGCAAAATGTTTATTATTTCTTTTTTTAATATAATTGTTTTACAACAAAGGGCGATACAGGGAGGCAACAACACATACATCCACACCACATAACATGAAAAGAAAAAAATCTTGCACCTTAACAAATTTGAACTTGTTTTTTTTCTGCTGTTTTTTGGTTGTATTTTTTATCTTATGTAAAGTTGTTAGCATATTACAGTTGAAAAATCCTGTACATTTTATAGAATTTAATCTTGCTTGTTTGCATATCTACATATATAATGTTTTTTGAAAAGCAAAGTTTGTTGCTTTTTTGCCTTTTTGGTCAATTTGATATATATTTTTTTAAACATTTTCTTTTTTTCTATAATTTTTGTGTGTGTGTGTTTTAAGGAATGGATGACTGCACATAAAATTTTAACAATGCTAAAGAAAGGGGTGGTGGAGGGGAACTTATGGGAAGAAAAAATGCCTAGGGTGGATGGAGTGGGTGTGTAAAAATCTATGAGTGTACTACACAGGAGATGAAGATGATGGGAGTGAATGTGTAAGTCAGTTGCCATGTCCATGTAAGGGCGGTACGGAGTGATCTAGCAGCATTAGAGCTTCTGGCTGTAAGGAAGGGATGGGCAATATACAAAAACAAATGAGCATATTCATGCCCATCAACAAAAAGAAAGAACAGAACTCTAACATTGACAATCTCACAAACCCTAAGCTGCAACTTCTTCAACATGCAAGTTACAAAAAATTAATAGTTATAGTATTAATATTTACATTTTCATTAAAGGTTCTCAAATTATAAAAACAGTTAAAACTTTTCCCTACTAAAATAGCAG